CCTGATCTTGTCTACATTCTGATTGTGACCACATTTCCAGAAATGTGTCTACAAATGGTATTAAAATGTGTATTTTATCCGTCCACTGCGTCTGCATTGTGACCAGATTTCCTGGTCCCTTACTTTAAGCAAATTATTTCACAGCTATTCTTTGAAAATAATATTTATTTATTTATTTATAGTAAGACACATATTGATGTAGTCAGTTAATGGTGCCACCTGTAAATGATTTTAGAGGGAGGAATAATGATGATTTAAATGGTTTCTCTGTCCAGATCTGTCTACAAAATGCGTGTCTGACTACCTGTAGAAGTGGGCAGGACGATCTGATCACAATCAGATCACAATGTGTATTTTGATTGTCTACACCTGTCTAAAAATGTGGACACAATCATAACGTGGACAAGATCAGGACAAATGAAGCAAGTTAGAACCAAGAATAAACGCTGCCTAAATCGCTCTGGTTAAGGGACTGTTCTAAATGTACAAGGGTGAAGAGGGGGGGGGGGGGGGGGGGTTGTCTAGCATATTTTTTTGCTTTGGGGAGGGTTGTGTGTTTTTTTCCCTGCTTTACATTCACACTAGCAGGTTTGACTATATAATTTCTTCCATCCTAGTCAAATGTCCTAATCTGCTTGCATGCGCCTCCCCTATATCAAGGTGTTTTGGTACTTCCCTTCTGCACACCATGCTTATCTACACCCTAACTCTACCACAGGTCAATATAGTGTATCAGGCTAACTGTATATGCTGCCTTCCATCCACCATTCATAGTGACAATGGTGGTAGGTGGATTGTTTGTCCAGATCTGCAATACTGTATGCTAACTAACAATCATACCACACATAAAATAATTCAAAGCTGCACCAATTTTCAATATAAGCGGAGAGGCCAGGTGCGCATTAAACACACAACTCAAAAAGCTCCCCTGTCGATCTTGTTCAGGGACAATATAATGATCCTACCTAGACTAGCCTACAACACCACATTGCAATGAATAATTGCACTATTGTTTTCAAGTGAGTACAAAATTCTACTCTAGGCTGAAAACTGAAGTGAAAATGTCATTGCAATAACAGAGGAAAAGAGCCCTGTGATTTGAATATTTCATTCCATTCATTCCATTTGGAATAGATGTGGGTCTACTTTCGATGCGCTGTCTGTTGCGGATCATCATTCTCCCAAGTCGCCATATAATAATGTAGCCACATATACTGCCGGCTGGCCAGTTATTCAGGAAAGCCTAAACAGCACTCTGCCTCCTCTCCAATCCGAGTGGCTATTCCTTGCACACCTAGAACCTAACACTTCAATATAGCCAACATTTTTGTCATTTAACCTTTCAAATCTATTACCTTTTATGTGTGGCATAAAAACAACCAGTCACAATGTTTTAATCTGATTATTGTTTTACAGTACAAGGGGAGGGCCGTATGAAAATATTTTTAACGTTGGGGAGGGGGATCCCTAAGAGCATCTGCTAAATTACTAAAATGTAAATGTAACCAGCTCACCTGCTTTTACACTATCATTTGACTAATAGATGTTGAATGTTTTTTTTGTTTTTTTTATTTAAAAAGGAATAGTTTCACCATATTAAAGTTCAGTTCACGTAAATAGGTTGACCATAAAATAATGAATCACTAATCACATGAAATAAATAATACTCTTCAGACATTACTTTGTCAAAGCAACAAAATAACTAGGGCTTTACAATGATGGTGAGAAGTTGGAGAAATGTTGGGATTAAGTCGGTTATATTCGTCCTATAAGTCACAGAGGATGCACAGAGGGACTGCTGAATTTTGGCACTTTAGCAAGTCTTTATTCGTATTAATAATAATTTATAAAATGTTCCATGCAGTCTATATTAAAGGGCACTTCATATAACAGGCACTTAATTTAACCGGCTTTTAAAATTCCATATTTGTGCACAATTTCTACTTAAAATATCAGAGAGACACAAAAGGCACTCATTTGGTGGAACGTCCCACTAGCTACATGGCCCATATACAACCCATACACAGCTTGCTCTCTTCATCTGCCTCACAATTTCTAACGTTACAGTGTTTTCTGCATGTCATCTGTAAGGTCAGGGAAGAGCCACTCTGTCCAAGCAAGCGTTAGTTCCCGGGCCAACCGTCTCCCATGACGACCAGGGCTGCTCACATCCAGCTCTTGTATTAGAACTCAGTCTCTCATTTTCCACGGGGATGGCAAAGAGTGTGTATGCATCTGTTTGTGAATATGTGCCAGTTCGTATGAGAAGTTGAGAGAATAGACAGAACAACTGTACGTCCATCCACACCCATCCCCCAGGAGCTTAGCAGCCTTTGACACACACACACACACACACAGACAGTATGAAGCCTGTTGGGACTCACACATAGCTGTGTATGAGTGTGATTACAGAAGCTGTTTATGGGCTACTGAGACAGAGGCAGGATTATCAGCTCTCAGGTGACAGTCAACCCTGTCTAATCTTTCTATTTTAATCAATAATTACCAAACACACACAGACATATCACACACAATGTCAGTACACAAATTCTCTCACGTACAAACACACAAACTGAAATGGAAACCAGTGCTAATCTCTCTCGCTCCACCCAGTGGTTGAGAAAGGCAACCTTAAAGGGTTGCCTGTTTGGATGATCCGAAACAGGGTCATTGTTCATTTCCCGGGAACCGGGCCATTGGCAGGGTTTAGATCAGCCCTCACAACACAACTCCCATGGTGTTGAACTCTAGACCAGCTTTGCAACGCATTATATGAAAATGGCGACCTCATCCAATCATATCTGGAGATTCAACACATTCAAGCCGGGTTAGTCACAGTCACTAAACAGAGAGTGTTGTCCTCTGAAGAATGTTATACTGTTGAACCCTTTCACCACTTGATGACAGTCATTTTATACATTTACATTTACATTTACGTCATTTAGCAGACGCTCTTATCCAGAGTGACTTACAGTTAGTGAATATTTTTTTTATAAAAAATTATACTGGCCCCCCGTGGGAATCAAACCCACAACCCTGGCGTTGCAAACACCATGCTCTATCAACTGAGCTACATCCCTGCCGGCCATTCCCTCCCCTACCCTGGACGACGCTGGGCCAATTGTGCGCCGTCCATGAGTCTCCCGGTCGCGGCCGGCTACGACAGAGCCTGGATTCGAACCAGGATCTCTAGTGGCACAGTTAGCACTGCGATGCAGTGCCTTAGACCACTGCGCCACTCAGGAGACTTTATAGTTTGCAGACATCTAAAAACAGTTACTGTCAATAGAAATGATGAAACACAGAAGTTTGATAAAACATGATGAAAGCCACACACTGTAATATATGCATTTCATCAAAGAGTGGGCCACCAACAAACCATCAAAGAGTGGGCCACCAACAAACCATCAAAGAGTGGGCCACCAACAAACCATCAAAGAGTGGGCCACCAACAAACCATCAAAGAGTGGGCCACCTAAGTAAACCATTTTCATTGAGCATGCTATTTAGTCAGGACTAGGCATAAAGGTCCAATGCAGCCGTTTTTATCTCAATATCTGAGTAGCAATTAAGTACCTTACTGTGATTGTTTTAATTTAAAAAGGGTTAATATATATATATATACACACACAGTACCAGTCAAACGTTTGGACACACCTACACATTCCAGGGTTTTTCTTTATTTTTACTATTTTTTACATTGTAGAATAATAGTGAAGACATCAAAACTATGAAATAACACACATGTAATCATGTAGTAACCAAAAAAGTGTTAAACAAATCAAAATATATTTTATATTTGAGATTCTTAAAATAGCCACCCTTTGCCGTGATTACAGCTATGCACACTCTTGGCATTCTCTCAACCAGCTTCACCTGGAATGTCACCTGGAATGCATTTCAATTAACAGGTGTGCCTTCTTAAAAGTTAATTTGTGGAATTTCTTTCCTTCTTAATGCATTTGAGCCAATCAGTTATGTTGTGACAAGGTAGGGGGGGGGTATACAGAAGATAGCCCTATTTGGTAAAAGACCAAGTCCATATTATGGCAAGAACAGCTCAAATAAGCAAAGAGAAACGACAGTCCATCATTACTTTAAGACATGAAGGTCAGTCAATCCGGAAAATTTCAAGAACTTTTAAAGTTTCTTCAAGTGCAGTCGCAAAAACTATCAAGCGCTATGATGAAACTGGCTCTCATGAGGACCGCCACAGGAATGGAAGACCCAGAGTTACCTCCGCTGCAAAGGATAAGTTCATTAGAATTGCAGCCCAAATAAATGCTTCACAGAGTTCAAGTCACAGACACATCTCAACATCAGCCTTCATGGTCGAATTGCTGCAAAGAAACCACTTCTAAAGGACACCAATAATAAGAAGATACCTGCTTGGGCCAAGAAACACGAGCAATGGACATTAGACCGGTGGAAATTTGTCCTTTGGTCTGGAGTCCAAATTGGAGATTTTTGGTTCCAACCACCGTGGCTTTGTGAGATGCGGTGTGGGTGAACGGATGATTTCTGCATGTGCATTTCCCACCGTAAAGCATGGAGGAGGAGGTGTTATGGTGTGAGGATGCTTTGCTGGTGACACTGTCTGTGATTTATTTAGAATTCAAGGCACACTTAACCAGCATGGCTACCACAGCATTCTGCAGCGATATGCCATCCCATCTGGTTTGGGCATAGTGGGACTATCATTTTGTTTTTCAACAGGACAATGACCCAACACACCTCCAGGCTGTGTAAGGGCTATTTTACCAAGAAGGAGAGTGATGGAGTGCTGCATCACGTGACCTGGCCTCCACAATCCCCCGACCTCAACCAAATTGAGATGGTTTGGGATGAGTCGGACGGCAGAGTGAAGGAAAAGCAGCCAACAAGTGCTCAGCATATGTGGGAACTCCTTCAAGACTGTTGGAAAAGCATTCCAGGTGAAGCTGGTTGAGAGAATGCCAAGAGTGCGCAAAGCTGTCGTCAAGGCAAAGGGTGGCTATTTGAGGAATCTCAAATCTCAAATATATTTGGATTTGTTTAACACTTTTTTTGGTTACTACATGATACCATATGTGTTATTTCATAGTTTTGATGTCTTCACTGTTATTCTACAATGTAGAAAATAGTAAAAAAATAAAGAAAAACCCTTGAATGAGTTGGTGTGTCCAAACTTTTGACTGGTACTGTAAAACACAGGAAAAACTGAATTTTCACTGCACTGGGCCTTTAATTAATATTGACTGATCTGGGTTGCTCTAACTGTCATTGTGTGTAGGTGATGTTGATGGTGTTTGTAGTGATGATGATAATGCTGATGATAATGCTGTTGATGCTGATGATGATGACGATGATGAGTTTGTGCGTGTGTGTGTGTAGGCGTTGGCTCTGAGTCAGTTCCTGGAGAATAACCGGCAGCAGGTGAATCTCCTGGATAAAGTGGTGCTGGAGATCGGGGCAGGGACAGGTTTACTGTCTATTGTGGCTAGTCTACTGGGTGAGTCTGTCCATCTGTCTCTTTGTCAGTCTGGCTAACTGTATAATAGCCAATGGCTAGTCTCCTAGGTGAGTCTGTCAGTTGGTGATGTGATTTGACACACTGATTAGTTTCCCAACTGACTGTTCCTCTTGTGTCCTGTTTTCCAGATGCCTGGGTAACAGCCACCGACCTGCCCGAAATCCTTCCCAATCTGACCTTTAACCTCTCTCGGAACTCCAAGGGCCGCTACCGCTACACGCCCCCAGGTGAGGGCAGTCACGACCTCGAGAAAGACTTCCCCTGCACTTCCTGTAGCTATGACTACGTGCTGGCAGCCGATGTGGTGTATCACCACGAGTACCTGGAGGAGCTGCTGGCGACCATGCGCCACTTCTGCAAACCAGGAAGTGGCACCACACTGATGTGGGCCAATAAGGTGAGGTTCCAGTCAGACCTGAAGTTCACAGAGCGCTTTAAGTGTTGTTTTAATACAACACTGATGACATAGCTAAAGGAGGGGGACGTGATGATCTACAAGGCCACGGCACGAGAGGGGGAGAGGGAGAGGGGAGAGGGAGGAGAGGGGAGAAGAGGGAAAGGGGGAGAGGGGATAGAATGGAGAGACCAGGGAGTAAAGGAGCTAGACTCAGAGGGGAAGTGTTGAGAAAGACAAAGAAGAGATAGAGATTGTTCTCCACTGTGGATGGATGAAACAGGAGCTCACTAGCTCACTACAGACTGATTGAAGCCCATTTTGTGGGTGCATTCACCTCACCAACATACACTATTACTAGACAGACAACAAAAGCTGATTCTGGGTTTCAATTACATTCCTGTGAGCTACATTATATTTACAACATTTTTACAACCCATGTCCTGCCAAAACCCAGAAACCAAAATGACTCAAAACCATGTGACTTTTCAAAATGCAATTTTATCTACCAGTGTTTTTTCATACATTTGATACATTGACAAATGTTTTGTAAATAAATGTGCTTTGCACTACAGTGTGAAAAACATGTTCATTTCTCCCTACTTACGCATAGTCTGCACTGGCATCACCACAGATATTCTGAAAGTTACTATATATACTCAGACATCTACTAGACAGTATCACCTGCATTTACAACTATGGTTAACAAACCCTTGTCCACTATACATGAAAACAGACTAGTTCAAGAAGGTAAGCTCTTACACTGAGTATACAAAACATTAGGAACACCTGCTCTTTCCATGACAGAATGACCAGGTTGAATCCAGGTGAAAGTTAGAATCCCTTATTGATGTCACTTGTTAAATCCACTTCAAATCAGTGTAGATGAAGGGGAGGAGACAGGTTAAATAATGATTTTTAAGCCTAGAGACAACTGAGACATAGATTGTGTATGTGTGCCATTCAGAGGGTGAATGGGCAAGACAAAAAATGGAAGTGCCTTTGAACGGGGTATGGTAGTAGGTGCCAGGCGCACCGGTTTGTGTCAAGAACTGCAACGTTTCTGGGTTTTTCATGCTCAACAGTTTCCCGTATGTAACAAGAATGGTCCTTCCACCCAAAGGACATCCAGCCAACTTGACACAATTGTTGGAAGCATTGGAGTCAACGTGGGCCAGCATCCCTGTGGAACGCTTTCGACACCTTGTAGAGTCCATGCCCCAATGAATTGGGGCTGTTCTGAGGGCAAAAGGGGTGGGGGGGATGGGGGTGCAACTCAATATTAGGAAGGTGTCCCTAATGTTTGGTATACTCAGTATATATTGACAAATTTAGTAAACTGTTTCTTAGCACATTTCACTAGTGCTATAGTGAGCAGAATCAGAAAGCATCTCATTTTCTCACTCATACACGCACACCTATGTCTTGACGATGCGAAATTATCTGTCAGTATGCGTTGAGAATACAGAATATCTATTGCTGGGCCCAACTGAAGTACAAAGGTCCAAAGTCCATCTAACAGGTTCACTCTAGGAGCAGCGGAACAGTCTCTCAGTCTCAACCAATGAGCAGTCAGTACACCGTGCCACTCAACAGTTCCATTTCCATGGCAACGTTATTGTGTAGAACCTGATTTGCTGTTCTGTTCTGGACTGTCTGAGTGTTTGTCTGGGTCCAGGTGTCATTGTCACGATGGCGACGCATTTCCCCATCAATGCCCTTTGAGGGGTATGTTTTTTTTAAACTGTTTTTCTCATTGTTCTACTCTAAACGTCAAGCGTTCAAAAAAGAATCAGTTGGCAGCGCTTTGTGATATCATCACTTGGAATGTTCCATTCCAAGTGTACTAAACACAACATCACCTCAAAGAGCTACGGTTGGTCTGATCCGGAACGTCTGAGCTCCATTCTTCGTCCTCCGTTTCCAAAGAGACAATCACGCCAAGCAGCAGGTTGTTGACTTGGGCTGTTCCAAAATGGACTCCCTGCGCAGGTCGTTGGGTATGGTGCCTGCAGGTCCCCACATGTTGAGCTCACCATAGATCCCCGTCTCAATCATCTCCTCCTGCCAGGGGATGGAAATGTTCCCAGAGGAGAACTCGTCAAAGAACACGCGGTCGGGGTCGTCCAGCCCCACCCCCTTCACCGAGGAGAACTCACCCACATCATCCAGGTCCTTGGCATAGACCACCTTGGAGTCGGGGACAAACGGAGGGGACAGGATGCCTGTAGGAGAGAGGGAGGAGGTTAGAGAGACTCTTACTGAGTGAACTTCAGAGGGAGGGATGGTGTGCTTCTGATGTGAAGTCTGTCTTTGTGGCAGCTGTAGAGTGTGACACAGCAAAATTATGGCCCAAATCCAGACCACATCCACAACTTAACATTTGGTTCAGTTAGCACTTGGAAATAGCCTTCGTACCTGCATCCAGTCTCCTCCAGTGGATGGCGCTGAAGAAGGGGTGTGTCCTGATCTCGTCACAGGTCCCGTTCTTGAAACCTAGTCTCTGGTCCACCTGTTTCTCCAGCAGCGCAGAGCAGATGGACTTGGCGTTCTCACTGAATGTCTCTGGGTAGACCACAGTCCCGGTCATGATGCGCTCCTTCAGTTCTTCCTTCTCAACCTGACCAGAAGAAAACCGCAGGTTAGCAACAGTACATCAATGCCATTGCCAACTGGGTGTGCAGGCTTTTGTTCCAGCCCTGCACAAACACACCTGTCTCAAATAATGATGGCCTTTGAAGGAAGAATCAAAGACAGGTGTGTAAAAGTGCTGGGATGGAACCAGGAGTTGTACACTGTTATCCAGTGTGACGAGTGTAGGGATGAAAGGGAGCAGGTTACCTTCTCTCCACGTTCCCTGAACGGGTTCTTGGCGGCCATAAACTCAAACAGCGTGACCCCCAGGGTGAAATAGTCCACTGAGGTGTCATACTTCTCCCCCTTCAGGAGCTCCGGGGCCATAAACCCTGGGGGCAGATAGCAAAGGTCAAAGGTTAAAGGTCAGTCACAAGAGCCAGAATGGATCCTCTTGGAGACACTAAACGTGAAACCCCATTGTGAGATAATGAGGTCGGGCAGCTGCAGCTGAGACTGACCTGGAGTTCCAGCGTAGCCTTTGATCTTTGTCTGGTTTTCCTTGAGCTCCACTGCCAGACCCAGGTCAGAGATACGCACGTTACCTAAGGACAACATTTGGACAGCGTCACATCACACAAGCATGACATGCGTGTGGGTGTGTGTGTTTGTATGTACATGCACACCTCTCATTGTGTACCTTCATTGTCCAGCAGCACATTCTCAGGTTTGAGGTCTCTGTAGATTATTCTCTTCTGGTGAAGGTGCTCCATGCCCTGGATGATCTGAGCTGCATAAAAACAGGCTCTGGGCTCCTCAAACCCTGGGTTGTTCTCATCCACCAGATAGATGTGGTACCTGGGGTGGCAGGTAATTTAGTGGTTAAGAGCGTTGGGCCAGTAACCAAAAGGTCGCTGGTTTGAATCCCCAAGCTGACTAGGCAAAAAAATCTGTTGATGTGCCCTTGAGCAAGGCACTTAACCCCAATTGCTCCTGTAAGTCGCTCTGGATAAGAGCGTCTGCTAAATGACCTAAATGTATCTGGGGAAGTATGGGAACAAACATGTTACAGATCTATCATAAGGTGTGTGTTTACTTCAGGTCTCCTCCATTCATGATGGTCATAACCAGACAGAGCTCATCCTTGGTCTGGAAAGCGTAGGCCAGTGACACAATGAAGCGACTATGAACCCTGGCAAGGATCCTCTTCTCCACCATCGCCCCCTAGAGTAGAGGAGGGGGACAAACATGACAATAGCAACCATCACTCACAAATTCATACCGGTAGGAAGAGGCAAAGCGAGAGGGTCCACTCCCGTCAAAATCTGTCCACTGGGGGAATACAGCAATAAGCAGACCGATAAGCTCCCAAGACTCCCATTATTAGGGAGACCAAGACCATCTCGTCGTTATATACAGTCTCTCAGCGGTAGGCCCTGCTCGATTATTTTTCAAATGCATCCTTCCTTGAAGTAATCACTGATCTAACACCTAGATAGGTGAAAGTTATTTAGTGGAATCCTTGCTTTCACCTATCTAATCATGTTATATCAGTGATTGACATGAGCAAGGAGGAATTTTTACCATTTTCAAACAGGGCCTTGGACTAGCTGTAAAGGACATGAACTAACCTTCCCCAGCAGTCCCACTGAGAACAGCTCCCTAATCCTCTCTGTAATCGCTCTATCCATGTGCTGTGTTTAATACAGAGGGCTAAGACAGAGGCAAACTTGATTAACACAATTATTCTCTCCTCATTGCTTACAGGAAAACAGGTACTGTAGCCTACTTCAAAACTGCAGCAAACTAATTCCATGAATATAACCATTTTCACTCAAGATTACAGGGGTTCTGTCAGTCACAGAGGGTATGACCCCTGGCCACATAGTGTAGGGTATGACCCCCGGGGTACATACTGTAGGGTATGACCCCTGGCCACATAGTGTAGGGTATGACCCCTGGCCACATAGTGTAGGGTATGACCCCCGGGGTACATACTGTAGGGTATGACCCCTGGCCACATAGTGTAGGGTATGACCCCTGGCCACATAGTGTAGGGTATGACCCCTGGCCACATAGTGTAGGGTATGACCCCTGGCCACATAGTGTAGGGTATGACCCCCGGGGTACATACTGTAGGGTATGACCCCTGGCCACATACCCTTCCATGGCATTAGTCATTGTGACTATCAGCTTGATCTAGCATTAATAGTCTACAGAAGCATACTGTATTCTAACGAAGTGATTTCCTCTTGGGATAGCATCTCATCTCTCTCATATCATACAGGAAATGTCACATGAATAGAGATGGTGGACCACACCAAAGACTCTCAGAAACAACCTCACCCCCTCCCCGTCTTTTCACCTCATAGCCCTTCCTCTTCTTCAGCCTCTTCTTGTTGAGCTTCTTGCAGGCATACAGTTTCCCCGTGGCCTTCATCTGGCAGGCAAACACCTCCCCGAACCCCCCCTTCCCTAGCACACGGAAGTCCTGGAACCAGTCTTGGTCCATGGGCTTCATCTCCAGCCACTTCCACTGCAGGAACCTCTTCAGGTACATGCTCTCCAGGAAGAAGGTGTAGGGAACTTCCTGGAGGTAGCCCAGCACAGAGGCCAGTGTCTGGGCAAAGAGGGCGTCCCCGGCCCCCTGCTGGGCCTCCTTCACCTGGGTCACGGTCTCTGGGGTCAGGAAGGGGCAGTAGAGCTTGGCCGAGGACTCTAGGTAACGCTGAATGATCCTGGACGCCTTCTGGGCCCGGTCCGTGTCTTCGGCTAAGTCGTACTCTTCGATGTCCCGCCACAAGTGGCAAGGACCGTGGTATTCGGGCGCCGTCTCCAGGAACTCGCGGAACAGGCGTTTGCCGATAGGCTGCTCCACGCAGACCGACTGAAAGGCTAGGTCCAGGGTTTCCTGGAGGCCCTCGCACACGGTGATGTGGGGCAGCTTGAGGCGGGCGTGGTACTTCTTGTCACGCGAGGCCGCCGGGTTGGAGCCGTCGAAGCTGCCGCGGGCGCTTATGTAGGCCGAGTTGGCAACCACTGTGGTCAGGCTTCCCAAATCCATGGCAACGGAGGGAGAGGGGCTGTCGACGACAGCGAGGACACTCAGAGGGAGAGCATGGTGAAGGAGAGAGGGGGGGTGGGGGGGGGAGGAGTAGAAGAGTAGAAGGTGGTAGAGGAGGAAGAGAGAGTGAAACAGTAAAAAGGGAGGATTAGAAAGGAAGGCTAAAATAAAAGATGAACAGAGGGAGTGAAAGCTAAATAAAGGAGAGCAGTGCCAGCAGCAGGACAGAAGACACAAGAAGATCCTCCTACTGACCCGAGCGCTTTACCCGTCTCTCTCTCACACACACCTGGCTCAGCACCTTTCAGACAGTAATGCCTTTATCCACTAACTCCCTAATACCTCAGGCTGAGGGTGAGAGCCCAAGCTGAGACTGATGTATTCAGACTAACTGTGTCACGGAGGCCGGAGCAGCACCTGTTATCTAAACAAGACACAAGGGAGCAGCACAGTAGAAAAGAGGGGAGGGAGTATGGTGCAGTCTAAAATGGACACCTCTCGGCCCCTGGCCTTCATAGATATGGAAGCAAAATGGTTATAGCTCCCTCTAGCCCTCAGTTCTTACATTATATCCATTACTCTTGGCACCACTATCACTGCAGGCCTTAATGCTCAAATCAGTTTTGTTTTTCAAATCCGTTTTGGAACACTGACTGTCCAAACAGCAAGTTACAAGTGACCAAATTGGATTTGTTTGCGTTCAGAGCAGTCATTGGCTGACATGGCTACGCTAGTTGTCATAGTAATGACGGGTGTGCAGTGGTGTAGGCTGGTTGGTGGTGGTGCTCGTGCTTCCTATCACTTAAAAGTTATGTAGCAAGGTGACAAGAATGCCTGCCATGGACGTTTCCCAGTTGCTTTGAATGTTCAAAATCATAGTGTAAGAACACTTTTAAAACCTCAAAAGGATAAGATTATGATCCAACTTTCAAAACGAGTCATTTTTTTCTAGCCACAGCAGTCAACTAGCTAGCTAGGTAGCTGTTTAGCTTTCTAGCACTTTCCCTGATTTGATTGTAAACAATTAACAAGCTAGTTAGCTACCACATGTTCTTGTCAAAACTTGCTAGCAAGCAACAAGATATGCTGAACGGTCTAAAAACCTACAAAGGTGGTTTAAAATGTGGCTTGAAATATCTGATTCCATGTGCTTTTTGGCTGTTCAGACTGCAGGAAAAAGGATTTGAGTCACTTTAAACTGCCAATGTGAACAAGGCTTTAGAGACTGCAAGTCAACACATTGGATTTTCCAGAGGAAAATCCCCAAAGGATTTCATATGTTTGACCCATTTGAGGTTATTACGGTCCTATTTCAGCTATTGAAGCCAATTGAGGAGTGTGAAATACCATACCACTGTTTTTCAGATTATAAAACCGCACAAAAACACTTACTGAAGTAAATTTGTTAAAACATTCTCTATATTTAATTGGCAAAATTATATTAGATTACAGAAAAGGTATTTTGGAAGAGTCAGTACATGTTGTTCAGTTTAAAAAAAGGAGATCTTCGAAGGGAGTCCATAGAGACAGACCTATACAACCCACATTTTAGATACATCAATAATGTCCAGGTCTTCCTTCCGCCACTGACCTGTAAAGGATGCTACAAACTACAATCTTCATAGGATCAGTTCACATCATTCACACACAAAGCTTAACATTTTCCTATAGGCAGCGTGGGTAGGAGAGTTCTTTTCCTCGCTGGTGCCTGTCACTTGTAAACACTACCATGGTGTGACAGGGCGGTCTGAGGGAAAGAGTGTCACCACTACAACTCTCCAAAACTTGAACAAATAAGGACCAGAGAAGCAGCAGCCTACAGAATGAGAGGAAGCTAGCCCAACACATCAGCCCAAATCTCTGCTTGAAATCAATGCCACAAAAGGGGGGGATAACAAAACAGTGTCCACACTTTCGAAAGGGCAGTCCCAAACTTTCTTAGGGCGTTGTGGTGACTAAACCAGACATTTTGGATCCAGTGAGTGTCTCTGAGCCAGCGGTCTGGGTGCAGTTGCACTGGCAGCCATCTTGAAACAGTGGTTTACCATTGAGTCTGTCCAACGTAATCAAAACATAACAAAGATAACTATTTCACACAGAAGGAACACTATACATTCTCCAACAGCAGTGGGTTGTCTGGAATATGTTTTTTTTTCTCCTTTATTCTCCAGCAGGATGGCTTGCCAAGAAGAGGGTGATAATAGACACAGAAATGCTGCAGCACAGTGCGAAAGCCATAGACTACACTTCACATGTGCACCCCCCCCCCCCAACGCCCCTTAGAGAGAGAGATACTCAGAGAGAGAGAGATATTCAGAGAGAGAGAGAGAGAGATATTCAGAGAGAGATACTCAGAGAGAGATACTCAGAGAGAGAGAGATACTCAGAGAGAGAGATACTCAGAGAGAGAGAGAGAGAGAGATACTCAGAGAGAGAGAGAGATACTCAGAGATACTCAGATATACTCAGAGAGAGAGATACTCAGATAGATAGAGAGAGATACTCAGAGAGAGCGAGAGATACTCAGAGAGAGAGAGAGATATTCAGAGAGAGATACTCAGAGCGAGAGAGAGATACTCAGAGAGAGAGAGATACTCAGAGAGAGAGAGAGAGATACTCAGAGAGAGAGAGATACTCAGAGAGAGAGAGAGAGCGAGAGATACTCAGAGAGAGAGATATTCAGAGAGAGATATTCAGAGAGAGAGAGAGATATTCAGAGAGAGAGAGAGATATTCAGAGAGAGAGAGAGATATATTCAGAGAGAGAGAGATACTCAGAGAGAGAGATACTCAGAGAGAGAGATAGAGAGAGATACTCGGAGAGAGAGAGATACTCAGAGCGAGAGAGAGATACTCAGAGAGAGAGAGATACTCAGAGAGAGAGAGAGAGATACTCAGAGAGAGAGAGAGATACTCAGAGATACTCAGATATACTCAGAGAGAGAGATACTCAGATAGATAGAGAGAGAGATACTCAGAGAGAGCGAGAGATACTCAGAGAGAGAGAGAGATATTCAGAGAGAGATACTCAGAGCGAGAGAGAGATACTCAGAGAGAGAGAGATACTCAGAGAGAGAGAGAGAGATACTCAGAGAGAGAGAGATACTCAGAGAGAGAGAGAGCGAGAGATACTCAGAGAGAGAGAGATATTCAGAGAGAGATATTCAGAGAGAGAGAGAGATATTCAGAGAGAGAGAGAGAGATATTCAGAGAGAGAGAGAGATATTCAGAGAGAGAGAGATATTCAGAGAGAGAGAGATATTCAGAGAGAGAGAGATATTCAGAGAGAGAGAGAGAGAGACTCAGAGAGAGAGAGAGATATTCAGAGAGAGAGAGATATTCAGAGAGAGAGAGATATTCAGAGAGAGAGAGAGAGACTCAGAGAGAGAGAGAGAGACTCAGAGAGAGAGAGAGAGAGACTCAGAGAGAGAGAGAGAGAGACTCAGAGAGAGAGATATTCAGAGAGAGACAGACTGCTTGTTCGAGAGGCTTCGCGCGACAGAAGGTTAATCTTCATCGTCGTTCTCATCGTAGTCGTCCTCCTCGTCATCATCCCCCATGTACGACACAGGGGTCTCAACACGGGAGCCGCTGTAGTGAGAGTCATTAGAGCTGGAGGCCCGGGTCCCATCTGCACCACTGTCACTACAGAGAGAATACAGTGGGGGAAGAAGACAGTAGTAGAGTCAGTAGGGATGTGCGTCTTTCCCTTTCAGGACGATTCGATACGTATCTAGATACATGGGCTCCGATACCACACCTTTTAGTTTGATTAGAGAGCGAATCAATGCGATTTGGTTCGATGCGATGCACTAACATTTGTTGCATAAACAGATTCCTTTTCCATTGTAAATTACAATCTGCTGCTGATGAAGCTCCTGAGCTGGGCCTCTCTGAGCTGGATCTGTCTGAGCTGGATCTGTCTGAGCTGGATCTCTCTGAGCTGGATCTGTCTGAGCTGGGCCTCTCTGAGCTGGATATGTCTGAGCTGGGCCTCTCTGAGCTGGATCTGTCTGAGCTGGATCTCTCTGAGCTGGATCTGTCTGAGCTGGATCTCTCTGAGCTGGATCTGTCTGAGCTGGGCCTCTCTGAGCTGGATCTGTCTGAGCTGGGCCTCTCTGAGCTGGATCTGTCTGAGCTGGGCCTCTCTGAGCTGGATCTGTCTGAGCTGGATCTGTCTAAGCTGGATCTCTCTGAGCTGGATCTCTCTGAGCTGGATCTCTCTGAGCTGGATCTCTCTGAGCTGGGCCTCTCTGAGCTGGATCTGTCTGAGCTGGATCTGTCTGAGCTGGATCTGTCTGAGCTGGATCTGTCTGAGCTGACTACTGTTTGCGTGTGTGAATGATGATGTATGTCTATGGTGTATGTACTGTAGGCACCTGAGCTGATACCATAAAGGAGACTAAGCATCTACCACTCACTACCACTATCAGATTAGGGGGGGCAATGTAGCCCATTTTGTCCCCCCACGTTGGTTCTGAAATCACCATCACCCACAAATGAACTTGGCATTTTTGCAGATTAACTGTTAGCTAGTAATGTATCAATATTTATTGTTTACAAATTAGCTATGGATTTCACCCCCCATTTCAAAATCAAATGGTTTTGACCATTTGGACGTTTTTAGAGTGATCTTCTCTTCTCCTCTTGGTTCGGCCATGCGGTGTGCCTCGCAAAAGTGATTGCTGTCATCGTTATGAAATGATCAACTTTACCCTCTATATCTGAAAATGACTGTATACACTGATTGTTTAAAGCAAAACTACCAAAACTATTGCTGATGGTGAACCTAAACAATCAAAATAAAATATTTTGTAAGCCCCGTTCAGCAGGTATAGCCAGATGAGGGTTGTCTCCGGTAGCTTACTTTTATTCCGGTAAAACACCATTTTCAACAGCGCATAGATAACAATAACCAACTAATTACACAGGTTGTCACTCAACTAAAAAAGCCTAATATCACACAAGTCATTTTAGCAATTGAATGCTGAAGGTGCTGTGCAGATGTGCCAGATCAGGAAGAGTGAGGAAGAGACGGAGATATCGCGGACGCAGATCGGGGTGCCTTGTAAGGATCCGACGGCGAGCGAGTAAACTGCCTCTTCCATCAATCCTATTAGCCAACGTTCAATCTTTTGAAAATAAAATGGACGATTTAAGATTACGGTTATCCTACCAACGGGACATTAAAAACTGTAATATCTTATGTTTCACGGAGTCGTGGCTGAACGACAACAATGATAACATTCAGCTAGCAGGCTATACGCTACATCGGCAGGACAGAACGGCTGGCTCCGGTAAGACAAGGGGTGGCGGTCTGTGTATATTTGTAAACAACAGCTGGTGCACAAAATCAAATACTAAGGAAGTCTCGAGGTTTTGCTCGCCTGAGGTAGAGTATCTTATGATAAGCTGTAGACCACACTATTTACCAAGAGAGTTTTCATCTATATTTTTCATAGCTGTCTATTTACCACCACAAACCAATGCTGGCATTAAGATTGCACTGAATGAGTTGTACAAGGCCATTAATCAACAGGAAAACGCTCATCCAGATGCAGCGCTCCTAGTGGCCGGGGACTTTAATGCAGGGAAACTTAAATCCGTTCTACCTAATTTCTACCAGCATGTTAAATGTGCAACCAGAGGGAAAAAAACTCTAGACCACCTTTACTCCACACACAGAGACGCATACAAAGCTCTCCCTCGCCCTCCATTTGGCAAATCTGACCATAACTCTATCCTCCTGATTCCTGCTTATAAGCAAAAACTAAAGCAGGAAGCACCAGTGACTCGGTTAATAAAAAAGTGGTCAGATGACGCAGATGCTAAGCTACAGGACTGTTTTGCTAGCACAGACTGGAACATGTTCCGGGATTCTTCAGACAGCATTGACGAGTACACCACATCAGTCACTGGCTTCATCAATAAGTGCATCGAGGATGTCGTCCCCACAGTGACCGTACGTACATACCCCAACCAGAAGCCATGGATTACAGGAAACATCCGCACTGAGCTAAAGGGTAGAGCTGCCGCTTTCAAGGAACGGGACTCTAACCCGGACACTTATAAGAAATCCCGCTATGACCTCCGACGAACCATCAAACAGGCAAAGAGTCAATACAGGTCTAAGATTGAATCATACTACACGGGCTCTGACGCTCGTCGGATGTGGCAGGGCTTGAAAACTATTACAGACTACAAAGGGAAGCACAGCCGCGAGCTGCCCAGTGACACAAGCCTACCAGACGAGCTAAACCACTTCTATGCTCGCTTCGAGGCAAGCAACACTGAAGCATGCATGAGAGCACCAGCTGTTCCGGATGACTATGTGATCACGCTCTCCGTAGCCGATGTGAGTAAGACTTAAGCAGGTCAACATTCACAAGGCCGCAGGGCCAGACGGATTACCAGGACGTGTACTCCGAGCATGTGCTGACCAACTGGCAAGTGTCTTCACTGACATTTTCAACATGTCCCTGACTGAGTCTGTAATACCAACATGTTTCAAGCAGACCACCATAGTCCCCGTGCCCAAGGACTCTAAGATAACCTGCCTAAATGACTACCGACCCGTAGCACTGACGTCTGTAGCCATGAAGTGCTTTGAAAGACTGGTCATGGCTCACATCAACAGCATTATCCCAGAAACCCTAGACCCACTCCAATTTGCATACCGCCCCAACAGATCCACAGATGATGCAATCTCTATCGCACTCCACACTGCCCTTTCCCACCTGGACAAGAGGAACACCTACGTGAGAATGCTATTCATTGACTACAGCTCAGCATTCAACACCATCGTGCCCTCTAAGCTCATCACTAAGCTAAGGATCCTGGGACTAAACACCTCCCTCTGCAACTGGATCCTGGACTTCCTGACGGGCCGCCCCCAGGTGGTAAGGGTAGGTAACAACACATCTGCCACACTGATCCTCAACACGGGGGCCCCTCAGGGGTGCGTGCTCAGTCCCCTCCTGTACTCTCTGTTCACCCATGACTGCATGGCCAGGCACGACTCCAACACCATCATTAAGTTTGCCGACGACACAACAGTGGTAGGCCTGATCACCGACAACGATGAGACAGCCTATAGGGAGGAGGTCAGAGATCTGGCCGTGTGGTGCCAGGACAACAACCTCTCCCTCAACGTGACCAAGACAAAGGAGATGATTGTGGACTACAGGAAAAAAAAGAGGGCTGAGCACGCCCCCATTCTCATCGACGGGGCTGTAGTGGAACAGGTTGAGAGCTTCAAGTTCCTTGGTGTCCACATCACCAACGAACTATCATGGTCCAAACACACCAAGACAGTCGTGAAGAGGGCACGACAAAGCCTATTCCCCCTCAGGAGACTAAAAAGATTTGGCATGGGTCCTCAGATCCTCAAAAAATTCTACAGCTGCACCATCGAGAGCATCCTGACTGGTTGCATCACCGCCTGGTATGGCAACTGCTTGGCCTCTGACCGCAAGGCACTAGAGAGGGTAGTGCGTACGGCCCAGTACATCACTGGGGCAAAGCTCCCTGCCATCCAGGACCTCTATACCAGGCGGTGTCAGAGGAAGGCCCTCAAAATTGTCAAAGACTCCAGCCACCCTAGTCATAGACTGTTCTCTCTGCTACCGCACGGCAAGCGGTACCGGAGTGCCAAGTCTAGGTCCAAAAGACTTCTCAACAGCTTCTACCCCCAAGCCATAAGACTCCTGAACAGCTAATCATGGCTACCCGGACTATTTGCACTGCCCCCCCACCCCATCCTTTTTACGCTGCTGCTACTCTGTTAAGTATTTATGCATAGTCACTTTAACTCTACCCACATGTACATATTACCTCAACTACCTCAACCAGCCGGTGCCCCCGCACATTGACTCTGCAACGGTACCCCCCTGTATATATAGCCTCCCTACTGTCACTTTATTTTACTGTATATATAGCCTCCTTACTGTCACTTTATTTTACTTCTGCTCTTTTTTTCTCAACACTTTTTTGTTGTTGTTGTTTTATTCTTACTTTTTTTGTTTAAAATAAATGCACTGTTGGTTAAGGGCTGTAAGTAAGCATTTCACTGCAATGTCTGCACCTGTTGTATTCGGCGCATGTGACCAATACAATTTGATTTGATTTGATTTGATCATTAAGTTTGCCGACGACACAACAGTGGTAGGCCTGATCACCGACAACGATGAGACAGCCTATAGGGAGGAGGTCAGAGATCTGGCCGTGTGGTGCCAGGACAACAACCTCTCCCTCAACGTGACCAAGACAAAGGAGATGATTGTGGACTACAGGAAAAAAAAAAGAGGACTGAGCACGCCCCCATTCTCATCGACGGGGCTGTAGTGGAACAGGTTGAGAGCTTCAAGTTCCTTGGTGTCCACATCACCAACGAACTATCATGGTCCAAACACACCAAGACAGTCGTGAAGAGGGCACGACAAAGCCTATTCCCCCTCAGGAGACTAAAAAGATTTGGCATGGGTCCTCAGATCCTCAAAAAATTCTACAGCTGCACCATCGAGAGCATCCTGACTGGTTGCATCACCGCCTGGTATGGCAACTGCTTGGCCTCCGACCGCAAGGCACTACAGAGGGTAGTGCGTACGGCCCAGTACATCACTGGGGCAAAGCTTCCTGCCATCCAGGACCTCTATACCAGGCGGTGTCAGAGGAAGGCCCTCAAAATTGTCAAAGACTCCAGCCACCCTAGTCATAGACTGTTCTCTCTGCTACCGCACGGCAAGCGGTACCGGAGTGCCAAGTCTAGGTCCAAAAGACTTCTCAACAGCTTCTACCCCCAAGCCATAAGACTCCTGAACAGCTAATCATGGCTACCCGGACTATTTGCACTGCCCCCCCCACCCCATCCTTTTTATGCTGCTGCTACTCTGTTAAGTATTTATGCATAGTCACTTTAACTCTACCCACATGTACATATTACCTCAACTACCTCAACTAGCCGGTGCCCCCGCACATTGACTCTGCAACGGTACCCCCCTGTATATATAGCCTCCCTACTGTCACTTTATTTTACTTCTGCTCTTTTTTTTTTTTTCTCAACACTTTTTTTGTTGTTGTTTTACTCTTACTTTTTTTGTTTAAAATAAATGCACTGTTGGTTAAGGGCTGTAAGTAAGCATTTCACTGTAATGTCTGCACCTGTTGTATTCGGCGCATGTGACCAATAAAATTTGATTTGATTTGATTTGATTTGAACAGGCCATCTACCTCCCGTTAGTCAGTGCGCGAAGCTGGGCACAGTGTGCAGTTTGACTACCGATATTGCCTGGCGTTGTTCAGCATGAAAAATTACTTGTAGATCAATGACTGGCAACACAGTTACATGCAGTTCGACACTGAAGGAGAAGATGCATCAGTTGTCACAAAATATGAGGTATTTTCAGAAGGTAGAAAGAATGTAACATGAGCTAAATACATTTGTGAACCCGTGATTCGTAATGTTTGAATTGATTTTCTGACCGATGCATGATACATTTGGATCGGGTTGGGCTCCGCGGACTGATGCACTTGTATCTTGAACCTTTGAATCGGGGACCGATGCGTATCGGTGAATTGTTACATCCCTAAGTGTTACCATATATTTCTATGTGAATGTGCCGATGGCAAGCCTGACTAGGCCAACACTTGAGGAGAGAGACTCACCTGCCCTGGCCGTGATGGCGCCGCCCGTTGGTGGAGGATCCTCCAGTGATGTAGACATTACTGATGGGGCCCTGGGCCATCTCTATGTGAGAGACAGTAGTACACACATCACATATATACCTTAGAGCAAACCACACAGGCCCTTGTTTCTCATAGCCAATGTACCCTGAATGATCAACATGTTTTACAATTAATGCCCAATTCATCTCACTTACATTAAAAGGGATTGTGTGAAGCTCAATGACTCAAGCTATGACAGATGATTTGGGCATGAAGTTTAAGCATGCGCTATGACCCCCTGATCCCTATGACCTCTGACCTGTGACATAGGGCTCCAGGGCTTTGGGCACCAGGCTGCGTGCCACCTTCAGGTCCTCCGGGGAACACTTGCCCACCTCCAGGCCACAGGCCATGCCCATACGCTTCAGCACCTCAATGTCGTCGTGGATCTCAAACATGTTGTCAAAGTTAAACAGGTACTCAAACCTGAAGAGTGGAATGGGAGAGGAAGAGGTGAAGAATATAATGGCATGGTTAGAGCTTTCAACCATGGAAAACTCTAATCGGTGTGTTGCCATGGCTTCAATGTGGGACAAAATAAAATGGCTTTACATTAATTAAGTTGATGATCAATTTACACTGACATACTCCAACACACACACACACAGTCGCTCACTTGTCATTGGAGATGCTACAGTCGATGACGGTCTTCTTGCTGGTGTTGATGATGATGAAGGGGAGGTGGATGAGAGAGTTGGGGGGCGGAGGTCTGTTGGCCTGCTGTTCCGTCTGTCTGTTCCGCTGCACCAGGTTCTTAAAGGCTATTTGCTGCAGGAGGGGAACATCATGGAGAGAATGTTAGAATATTGTTAAGTCAACCTGTGGTCTTGTATTTTATGTTCCCCTTGTATTGTTGTCTATGAGGCAGGCTTGTCCTATGATCACCTGTAATATGAGCTCTTGGAGTTGTGACTGCTTCTGCTTGATCCTATCCAGTCTCCTTTGTCTCTCCACCTACAAAGGAAGAGCAGAACACAGACAAGGTGTCAGAGCATAAGAGAAAAGGGGGAATGAGGAAGGAGGAGAGTTCATGGTTGACCAGGTGTGTGTGTGTGTGTGTGTGTGAATATACTCTCACTTCTAGGTTCTGGCATTCCTGTGCTGAGTTGGTGGGCAGACCGATCCACTTGATCTCTTTCTTCTCTTTAGAGATGATGTTCATGGCCATGAGCACGTTGAGCGCGTCGTACACACGCCGTCGGATGTTCTTCTGGTCATACACATGCTACAAGGAGAGGGGGAAGGGGTTAATCTCTGACTTTGATTCCTGTGCGTGCAGAGAGCTTCCGATGGGTTTGTGAGGTGATGTTGTAAGAAAACCAGTGTCCTAAAGCCTAATTTATGCAATATGGAACGTCCGCTCCTGTTGCACATGGATTTCGAAATCTCCGCAGAACTTTTCTTAGGAGGTGAATGTGGACACAAAACCCTATGTGGACGAGAGCGGACGTAGCGCAAGTAAATTAGGCTTAAGGAAGACCAAGTCAGAGAATCTTCATTTCCTAAACAGGTGATGTCATAAAGAGGTTTGTTTTGTCTGAGTGAAGCCACAATTATGTGTTCTGTCTGAGAGAAAGTGATAGAAGAGTTCTGTCAGAGAGAGTGGTGTCATAATGAAGAGTTCTGTCAGAGAGAGGTGCCATAATGAGGAGTTATGTCAGAGAGAGTGGTGTCATAATGAGGAGTTCTGTCAGAGATAGTGGTGTCATAATGATGAGTTCTGTCAGAGAGAGTGGTGTCATAATGAAGAGTTCTGTCAGAGAGAGTGGTACCATAATGAGGAGTTCTGTCAGAGAGAGTGGTGCCATAATGAGGAGTTCTGTCAGAGAGAGTGGTGCCATAATGAGGAGTTCTGTCAGAGAGAGTGGTGCCATAATGAGGAGTTCTGTCAGAGAGAGTGGTGCCATAATGAGGAGTTCTGTCAGAGAGAGTGGTGCCATAATGAGGAGTTCTGTCAGAGAGAGTGGTGCCATAATGAGGAGTTCTGTCAGAGAGAGTGGTGCCATAATGAGGAGTTCTGTCAGAGAGAGTGGTGCCATAATGAGGAGTTCTGTCAGAGAGAGTGGTGCCATAATGAGGAGTTCTGTCAGAGAGAGTGGTGCCATAATGAGGAGTTCTGTCAGAGAGAGTGGTGTCATAATGAGGAGTTCTGTCAGAGAGAGTGGTGTCATAATGAGGAGTTCTGTCAGAGAGAGTGGTGTCATAATGAGGAGTTCTGTCAGAGAGAGTGGTGTCATAATGAGGAGTTCTGTCAGAGAGAGTGGTGTCATAATGAGGAGTTCTGTCAGAGAGAGTGGTGTCATAATGAGGAGTTCTGTCAGAGAGAGTGGTGTCATAATGAGGAGTTCTGTCAGAGAGAGTGGTGTCATAATGAGGAGTTCTGTCAGAGAGAGTGGTGCCATAATGAGGAGTTCTGTCAGAGAGAGTGGTGTCATAATGAGGAGTTCTGTCGGAACTAGGAAACTCAGAAACTTCCGACTTGCTAACTGGTTGTAGTTATACATGTGCCATGTTCAACCAGTTAGCAAGTCAGAAATGTCAGAGTTCCGACTAGCACGAACGAGGCAAGAGTGAATGTTAACTATTTGGTTGTACTAGCATAGTCAGAACTACACATTTGCGATTGTTCCATACAAAACAATTGTGCACTTTTAGCTCTATCAGAGTTATACAGCAAGTAACTGCATGCTTTTCATGATCAGTAAACAATTGATCATGTCATTTCAGATGTGAGAGTAGCCTCATGATATCGCTCAATATTGGCCACCAATAATTGGATATTTGAGTTCTATAAAATAAAAGTCAACTATACCTGACAAGTATGAGTGGTTTAGGTTAATTTCCCTCCTTTGTGGGCTCTGCCTGTCAAGCAGCAGAAGGGCGCATTTGCCGATGTACTGTTAACTGATAATGTTTACTTTGCAAGCTACCGGTAGAAACGTTGTACAGTTGGCTAAACAGTGGTAAGTAGACCTAATGTATTTTTCTGTGTTTAATCACGATTGCTGCTGACAGACATGATAGGCTACATTGATTGATGGACAACGTCAAATTGGCTAGCTAGCGAATAACAGATCACATCAATATGGCTAGTTAACTAACTAACTTTCAGGGGCTATATTTGCTTGACATCTATAGTGGTGATGACAGTAGTCCGACTGACAACTTTACCAGGACGAGGACAATGTCAAGCTCTTTCCAAAAGCCTAATTTCTGATGAAGCAAGCTAAATGGCACGTTGTTTGCTTAGCTAGCTAGCTACATGCCAAATGGATAGACTACCCTCAAGTATCTGAAAACACATGAACAATTGGAGGTTTACTGATCATGAAAAGCATGCAGTTACTTGCTGTATAACTGATGATAAAGATAAATGTGGAATAATTGCAAATGTGTAGTTCAGACTATGCTTTTCAATAGATGATATTAAAACCAAATAGTTATTTAACAATCCCTTGAAAATGGCACATAGTTGTCAATGGTTTAGCGGAGCTGGGGGTCTTCTTGCACCCCAGCAGCAAAATCGAACGCTCTGCACCGTATTGTGAGGTTTTATTGATAACGACCTATTCAGTCAGACAGAATGTGCCATGTCATAATGGAGAAAAGTGATGTCATAAAGACCTCCCCAGCCTGTTCTGAGGTAGAGCCCTGTGCATTATGTGCATACAGCTGCAGAACTCACTGAGTCGTTGGGGGAGATGTGGTTGTCTGTAGCGCTGAACTCTGCCACCAGCTCGTCTGCCACCTCGTTGTAGGTTGTCACCCCTTTCTTCTGCACCTTCTCACACACCTTCATGGAGAAATGCCTCAGACCCTTGCCATTCTTCTCCCCCTTCTTACCACGCTTCCTGTGAACAAAGTAGTGGTCAAACAGCTGTTTATTTCTAGATTACACTGGTATACCGCACACAGGCGCAAACAATAAATTGACTAAACGTCTCAAACCAGCTAGCTGCTCAATGAACAGAGAGAGGAGGGGGTGCCTCCTAAGTGACCTGCCAGGATGTGGGGTAGAAATTTGGGAGGGCGGGGTAGTGACTCACCCCGAGGACCATGGCGACGCGTCGACCGGCTGGCTCTGTGTGAGGAACTGGGAGTTGGGTGTGTGAGGGCTATTCACCAGTATGGCACTGGAAACACTAGGCCTCTGGGGCGTACCAATCACCTACAGGGAAGGGGGGGGAAGAGAGGGCCCAACCATTTTAGTTTTAGAATAAAGTAAAACATCTTTATTATCCCCATAGAGCAACTTACTTTGCACCAAGCAGTCAAAATACAGTGCATTCGGAAAGTATTCAGACCCCTTGACTTTTTCCACATTTTGTTATGTTACAGCCTTATTCTAAAATGGATTAAATAAAATAAAATCCTCATCAATCTACACACAGTACCCCATAATGACAAAGTGAAAACAGGTTTTTAGAAATGTTTGCAAATAAAAATAAAAACAGAAATACCTTATTTACATAAGTATTCAGACCCTTTGCTATGAGACTCGAAATTGAGCTCAGGTGCATCCTGTTTCCAGTGATCATCCTTGAGATGTTTCTACAACTTGATTGGTGTACAGCTGTGGTAAATTCAATTGATTGGACATGCACAGATCTGGGGAAGTGTACCAAAACAATTCTGTAGCATTGAAGGTCCCCAAGAACACAGTGGCCTCCATCATTCTTAAATGGAAGAAGTTTGGAACCACCAAGACTCTTCCTAGAGCAGGCCGCCCGGCCAAACTGAGCAATCGGGGGAGAAGGGCCTTGGTAAGGGAGGTGACCAAGAACCCGATGGTCACTCTGACAGAGCACCAGAGTTCCTCTGTGGAGATGGAAGAACCTTCCAGAAGGACAACCATCTCTGCAGCACTCCACCAATCAGGCCTTTTTGGTAAAGTGGCCAGACGGAAGCCACGCCTCAGTAAAAGGCACATGACAGCCCGCTTGGAGTTTGCCAAAAGGCATCTAAAGGACTCTCAGACCATGAGAAACAAGATTCTCTGGTTTGATGAAATGAAGACTGAACTCTTTGGCCTGAATGCCAAGCGTCACGTCTGGAGGAAACCTGGCACCATCCCTACAGTGAAGCATGGTGGTGGTGGTGGCAGCATCATGCTGTGGGGATGTTTTTCAGCGGCAGGGACTGGGAGACTAGTCAGGATTGAGGGAAAGATGAACGGAGCAAAGTACAGAGAGATCCGTGATGAAAACCTGGTATTGTGTGTAGATTGATGAGGGGAAAAAACTATTTCATTTTTTAGAACAAGGCTGTAACGTAACAAAATGTGGAAAAAGTCAAGGGGTCTGAATACTTTCCGAATGCACTGTACATATACCTACAACACAGCAATCTGAACTGGCTCTCGACATCATTAACGTGGCAAGTGTGTCCCCACAAGACCAGCAGGAGAGATGGAAAGAGCATTATGCAGCTGACTCATAATGTACAAAGTGCCTGTGGTGGAGAGAACCTTCTCTGGGGTGATAAGGTGAAGCGAACTTCCTGCTTATAGTAGTTATGGGAGGCAGGCCAGGTAGGTGATGTATTCCACTGTCTGCGGGCTGGTCATCAGGTGATGTCTAAGCTGATTCCCATTATCTATATTGCCATGTATGCAATGGGATGATGGGAGTAATCCTGCTGACTGCAGAGGTTGATCAGCTTTGGCTCACCCCCCGGTCACGTCACAATGATAATGGATGGGGCTTAGAGACCATTGAGTATGTGTGTGCTTATAAACTGTGTAGCACTTTCAGCAAGTGTATTTAAGTGGTGAGCTTGCAGTTAAGAAGGTTGTGCTTGCAATGTCTGTGAGAGCAAATATCAACCTGCACTCTACCACACTGTCTCAAAATAAAATACTTTGTCATCAAGTCTGTGGTTGAGATATTGCTGTATTTCTGGCCTTTGCCGTATGCTTCTGTCCATTCAGGTAAATGGTGCAGGTAGACGGCATATACATTAAAACCAGTAGATAGTGATAGCACTAACGTCATCCACGTATTCCTATGGCAAACCCCCGATGGCGCATGAAGCCGCAAGTGTTTGAATTTGAAGCATGCCATATTGCTGAATGGGACTGATTGGCACCAAAAAAAATGTTTTGTTATGGATCATGGTGAAAGTGGCCGTAACTAGCGAAGGATCATGGTCGTTGTAGTCGTTTTCATCCTGCCTGAGAGAGTCAATCTTAATGTCTATGGCATGAGAGCGCAAGCCTCCTCATAGCCTGCCGGCCCGTGATTGGTCAGTGTCAGCACGTTGTCCTGTGTGACGACAAACATAGTAGTCAGAATAGATCATTATTTAATGAAATATCTCAATTTGTAGCGAACTTTAAAAGAATTCACCATGGGGATGGAACTGCAGAGCTCGTGACTTCACGCTCCAGACCGAACACCTGGGTCCTGGTAGACAGACACACTCACCATGTGTGGAGCAATGTTGACATTGGAGGGCCCCAGGGTTTTAGGCAGTAGTTGTTTGGCCATGGGGATGGACGCAGGATGGACAGCAACCAGAGACAGGACACCTGAGAGGGGACAGAGTCAACACTAGGGTCAAAGGGGTCATCTGGAACCACTGTCCACAAAATGGCTGCCTCTTTTCATATCCAGTTCTCAGGTAGATGGCTTCAGGGGACAGGAGGCCCTATAGGATGCAGGCTTACTGACCCAATGGAAATTCTGAGTGTACACAGATCTTCAGAACACCTGTCTGACATTGACGCCCATGATTAGATGGGCAGAATGTTGGGAAGGGAGTAAAATGAGATGAGCTACATTTGTGCATTCTCATTGCCCCCTGCTGTTGAGTTGAGACATACAGTGCCTTCGGAATGTATTCAGACCCCTTAACTTTTTCCACATTTTGTTATGTTACAGCCTTATTCTAAAATGGATTAAATAAATAACCTCAGCAATCTACACACAATACCCCATAATGACAAAGTGAAAACAGATTTTTAGACATTTTTGCAGATTTATAAAAAATTAAAAACAGAAATACCTTATTTACATAAGTATTCAGACCCTTTGCTATGAGACTCGAAATTGAGCTCAGATGCATCCTGTTTCCATTGATCATCCTTGAGATGTTTCTACAACTTGATTGGAGTCCAACTGTGGTAAATTCAATTGATTGAACATGATTTGGAAAGGCACACACCTGTCTATATAAGGCCCCACAGTTGACAGTGCATGTCCGAGCAAAAACCAAGCCATGAGGTCGAAGGAATTGTCCGTAGAGCTCCGAGACAGGATTGTGTTGAGGCACAGATCTGGGGAAGGGTATCAAAAAATGTCTGCAGCATTGAAGGTCTCCAAGAACACAGTGGCCTCTATCATTCTTAAATGGAAGAAGTTTGGAACCACCAAGACTCTTCCTAGAGCTGGCCGCTCGGCCAAACTGAGAAATCGGGGGAGAAGAACCTTGGTCAGGGAGGTGACCAAGAACCCAATGGTCACTCTGACAGAGCTCTAGAGTTCCTCTGTGGAGATGGGAGAACCTTCCAGAAGGACAACCATCTCTGCAGCACTCCACCAATCACCTGCAGCACTCCACCAATCAGGCCTTTATGGTAGAGTGGCCAGACGGAAGCCACACCTCAGTAAAAGGCACATGACAGCCCGCTTAGAGTGTGCCAAAAGGCACCTCAAGACTCTCAGACCATGAGAAACACAATTCTCTGGTCTGATGAAACCAAGATTGAACTCTTTGGCCTGAATGCCAAGCGTCACGTCTGGAGGAAACCTGGCACCATCCCTACGGTGAAGCACTGTGGTGGCAGCATCATGCTGTGGGGATACTTTTCAGCGGCAGGGACTGGGAGACTAGTCAGGATCGAGGCAAAGATGAACGGAGCAAAGTACAGAGAGATCCTTCATGAAAACCTGCTCCAGAGCGCTCAGGACCTCAAACTGGGGCGAAGTTTCACCTTCCAACAGGACAATGACCCTAAGCACACAGCCAAGACAACGCAGGAGTGGCTTCGGGACAAGTCTCAATGTCCTTGAGTGGCCCAGCCAGAGCCCGGACTTGAACCCGATCTAACATCTCTGGAGAGACCTGAAAATAGCTGTGCAGCAACGCTCCCCATCCAACTTGACAGAGCTTGAGAGGATTTGCAAAGAAGATTGGGAGAAACTCCCCAAATACAGGTGTGCCAAGCTTGTAGCGAAGCCTCGAGGCTGTAATCGCTGCCAAAGGTGCTTCAACAAAGTACTGAGTAATGGGTCTGAATACTTATGTAAATGTGATATTTCAGTTTTTTTATTTTTAATAAATTACCAAGCATTTCTAAAAACCTGTTTTTGCTTCGTCATTATGGGGTATTGTGTGTAGATTGAGTGGAAAAAACAATTTCATCAATTTTAGAATAACGCTGTAACCTAACAAAATGTGGAAAAAGTCAAGGGGTCTGAATACTTTCCGAAGGCACTGTATACCTGAAAGACACTGATCTGGAACACAGCTCACCTTTACTGGGACTCCGATTCTGGTCGATGAAAACCTTCAGTTCTCCATTGGTTTCCATCAGACCAACCTGTGGGGAAGACACCACCATCAACATCTGTGGTCCTCTGTAGCTCAGCTGGTAGAGCACGGCGCATGTAACGCCAAGGTAGTGGGTTCGATCCCCGGGACCACCCATACACAAAAATATATGCACGCATGACTGTAAGTTACTTTGGATAAAAGCGTCTGCTAAGTGGCATTATTATTATTATTATCTACTCCAGTAAAATCTCAACAGCTGGTCTCTGTATTGAATCTCTCAAAGACTCCTGTGAGGCCCCCAGGACCAGGATGGAAGAACACTGCGCCTGGTTGTCTCTGATCAGACTCACATCTTTGGCCATGATCCTGTCGGACCGGAGAAGTAGGGCTCTGTCTGAAGAAAGGGAATCTCCTCTGATAAGTCACCAATGCCTTCCCTGAAACAGAGAGCATAGTGTCTAATGCAATGGTTAGACTGCTGGATTTTTAGCTGTCCGAGTGTATATTAGTATACACTGCTGAAACTACCTATTTAAAGTTGGGGTTAACCTCTACGGGATCGGTGTCCCGTATACAGGATGGTTGAGTTAACGTGTGCTAATGTGATTAGCATGACTGTTGTTGTAAGTAACAGCAAACTTTCCAGGACATAGACATGTCTTATCTGGGAAG